GGCCAAGTCCCACATACAGCAACTAGAAGGATGTGCAGCTACGACATACAACTATCCACTGGGGCTTTGGGGGGAAAAAATAAAATAAATAAAATCTTTAAAAAAAAAAAAAAAAAATGCCAGCACCATCCCCATTTCAGAAACAGCGTCTAGCATATCCAAACTGCCTGTTCTTAGATGAAGATTTTAGGGAACTTGCTTTAATTCTATTTGGGCTACTGAGGCTTCTTATAAGTACAGTGTTATGTGTGCAATATTAACAGTCAATTTTTTTGTTTCATTTTTATATCTCCTCTCTTATTCATTCCACATTTTTACCTTGTGGGTAGAAAACTCTTTTAAAGTCAAGCTCATAGAATTTGAATGATAAAAATGACTTTGAGAAGATCTACTGTCAAGCAAGACTACTTCCAAATTCTGAGTCAAATGAGAATCTAAACTGGTTTTAAGGATCATAAAGAAAAGTATATGAAATTTTAATCAGAGTAGTTTCAGTGTATAATGATGACTTGTATAAATGGCATTCATCTTTTTTCTCTCTGCATGAAGACTACTTGTGCAATTTCCACAATATAAAACCTTTGAAAATTTATTTGGCATAGGAGATTCGTGGGTCTTCTTCCTATTGAAAAGATCTGTTAAAAAAAGCTTCACATTCTTGATTAAGTTTCGCTTAAAATGGGACAATTAATGTTATCTTTTCTGTGAGGGTGCCATGAATTCTCACTTTGTTGACACCTCATTCATTTTTCTGTCTCTCTGCAACTTAGTTACATTCTCTACTGCAGGCAACAGTTATTACCTCTTCAATAACAATTTAAAAAAATTAAAACTTCTAGCTTTCACATCAGCATGAAAGTCAAGGGAAGAAATTGAAAATAAACAATTTCAGTCCTAACTTCAGTGTTCTGTGCTACAGAATGGCTCGGAATTAGTTATATTGGAAAATATGCGGAGTAAAACCACTTCATAAATTATGGTGGTAATGGTTCTGTTTTCCTTTGTTTACTTTTTCTTTCATTAGATTTTTTAGGCAGTCACATTCCCAGTGACCACCTGATGGTATAAATATGGTATTTATTTATACCTGATGGTATAAATATACATCTTTATATTAATTTTGTGTTGAAGAACAAGGGAAGTCACTAGCCAATCTGACTGATTTTCATGAATTTCTGTGTAGTCGCCTTCATTTCTTTTCTGTGTTTTGTTTTTGAGGAAGACTGGCCCTCGGCTAACATCCGTGCCCATCTTCCTCCACTTTATATGGGACGCCTGCCACAGTGCGCGCCCAGGATCCGAACCGGCGAACCCCGGTCGCCGCAGCAGAGTGCGCGCACTTAACCGCTTGTGCCACCGGGCCAGCCCCTCCTTTCTGTATTTTAAAGAATGGTGGCTCTTCCTACCAAACCCTCAGTTTTATTAGGAAAGAAAACTATAAAAGTTAAGGGTTTCAAAGTCGTGCACATTAAGTTGTCGGTCTGTGTTCTGTCTAATGACTGTCTTTCATCCTTTTAGTTTACTTAGACAAAGATACTTTTTAAGATTTCACTTTTACCAAAATTAAGTCTGTAAGAATTGTGTCTCTGAACTGCTTCAGTTTCTCTTCTCTGGTTCATCATATTCTTCATAAGATTATCTCCCAAAGACTACAAATTGTGTAAATCATTGGGCCCAAAACTTTTACCTTGTTTTAAATCTCCATTGTTTTAATGTTAGTGTGTTTATATATATCCATACATTTATTCTTTAGATGATAACATCAATTTGTAGTTATAAGTTCCTTAGGTATCTAATATTATTTATTGAATAAATTGAATTCAGTAAAAATTAAATCTTAACTCAAAACAAAGAACTGATCTTACGTGATTGTGTATTGACTCTGTACACTTATTGGCTCCTCGCAGGAGACCCCTGTGCTTACCAGAATAGAAAAACAGAAGCGCAAAGAGGAGGAGGAAGAACGGCAAATTCTTCTAGCAGTGCAGAAGAAGGAGCAGGAGCAGATGCTAAAGGAAGAGAGGAAACGAGAATTGGAAGAGAAAGTTAAGGCAGTGGAAGGTATGTGGGTTTTCTCTGCATTCTAGAGAGCTACATGTGGTATGGGAATAGCCTGCCTGTAGCCAGAGCCACATCAAACTAGGTTCTCTCATTTATCTAAGCTGTTTCTGGCAATTTCTCTTTAAATTGTATTCTGTCTGGTTTATTCTTCTGGATCCAGTCTTCTTGCTGTTATTCCTGCTAAGGCATGTGTACCTGTCATTCTTGGGGTTCTTTTCAGGCTCTTGCTTGTTGCTCTCATCTCTGCCATGTCCCTTGTGTGGATTAGCAAAAAAAAAAAAAAATGAAGGTATTGATGACAACTAATTTCACAGAAATAACTGTAAACACAAATGAAATGTGCTTAAGAAAAGTCTTAGAGGTTTTTTTCAGGTATGGCACTATACAAATCTAGAATATTACCATTAATATTATGAGCGCACATAGTTTCCTCAGGCTTAGGTCCAGGTCTTGGTCTTGGTATACTGAGATTTTTCTTTGATTTGTGGTTAAAGCAAAGGATAACAATCATCTCTAGGTGTGTTAGGTAGCAGCCTTATTTATTTATTTATTTATTTATTTATTTATTTATTTATTTATTTATTTATTTATTTATTTATTTATTTATTTATTAAAGATTTCATTTATTTATTTCCCCCCCAAAGCCCCAGTGAATAGTTGTATGTCATAGCTGCACATCCTTCTAGTTGCTGTATGTGGGACACAGCCTTAGCATGGCCGGAGAGGCAGTGTGTTGGTGCACGCCCGGGATCCGAACCCGGGCCGCCAGCAGCAGAGCGCGAGCACTTAACCGCTAAGCCACAGGGCCGGCCCAGCAGCCATATTTATAAGCTGCACCTGATGTATCTTGTGACAACAGATCATTTGGGTTGGTTGAATACAGACCAATATTTCTTTTCTTTTAAATAAGTGTATTAAACTTTTTAAATATTTGAATAAAACAGTGTAACATGGATTTGACTTTTTTAATGCAGTGTTTCAATGCAAAATTTAAATAAATTTTGACTATAAAATTTAAAGGATTCTGGCCTTACTATGTGCATTTTTACTCCCTTTCCTAAGTAGTGCCTTCTGTTTCTTAATAGGTTGACCCCATTCCTATCTTACTCATTTCTTCATTCTAAAACCTTTAGTCATTTAATCTACAAATTTAGCCTGTGCCACATTGTGTATTATTTCCTACTTGTAAGATTTTGTATATATTTTATTTCCAGTACTAGATTTAAATTCCTCAAGACAGTAACTGTGCCTTATATTTCTTTATATTTTTCAGTGGGATTCTATAATTTTCAGTGGGGTTCTTATTGGGTGCACTTTTTGTATATACAGACAGGTTCAAAACTTATTTTTATGGCTTAGTTTCTATACCTGTAAGATTAGTAATACTTTTGTTACGGATTATTTTTCAAATCAACAAATATTTCTTGAGCACCCGTTCTGTGCCAGGCACTCTTCTAGGAACATAGTATTAAACAAAATAAGTTATTCCTTTCATGGAGTTTACATTCTAATGTTAGGAAGACAGAGAGTAAACAAATATTGTAGAATCATAGATAGTGGTGAGAGATCTGAAGAAAAATAAAACTGGTTTAGAGATAAAGAGCCTCATGTTATAAGTGACATTTAAATAAGATTGTTAAGAAAGTCCTCTCTGAAGATGCGACATTTGATAATGAAATGAGTAAATGTGCCATATGAATATCTGACGGGAGAAGAGCCCTGCATGCCAAGGGTATAGCAAGTTCAAAGGCACTGAGTTGTGACTGTGCGGCAGGAAGGGCAGTGTGGCTGGATCCAAGTGAGCAAAGCAAGGAGAAGGTTGGCAGGAAATGGTTCCTAGAGGTAACGGGTCAGATCGTGTAGGGCTGTGCAGACCTTGTTAGAAGGAGTGAATGGAGGAAGGGCTAGCACACAGCAAGCTCACAGTGATAGTTATCATGGAGGAAATGTGGAGAGAATTTTTACAGGCTGTTAAATAGTTACAACAAGAAACTTTTCCTGACTTCTTGGCAGCGAAGTAAAAAAAAAATGGAAATAATACGTTTTTTACTGACGGGAGAATTTTAAAGTTTGTAACGTTAACTCAGAGAAAAAAGCTTTTTATGACATTAAATTCTAAGAGGATTTTATCGTGTGGGTCATTGTACCATAATATTTATCTGTGTTGAGGGTGCATCAGAACATTCTTCATATTGATGTTGAAAATCTGTCTGTAAATGGAGCAAACAACTTAACAGTTAGTTTTACTCTTTTGTATGCTTCTATTTATACCCCATCATCCCAGCAGTGCTGGCACCAGTCACTAGTATGGGGCCCCTGAAATTGCTGGCAAAACTAGTGTAATGTGACACATGAGCACATATTTCCAAGGAGAGAGCTCATGGCTTTCATTCGTTGAAAAAGATTTTGAAAGGAGGGAAGTAGATTAAGAAAAGGTAGAAGCCAAAAGTTAGAAACAACCCAAATGTCCATCAGTGTGAATGGACACACAAAACATGGTATAATCGCGTTTCTGTAGTGTAGTGGTTATCACGTTTGCCTCACAAAATGTGGTATATACTTACAGTGGATTATTATTTGCCTTAAAAAGGAATAAAATTCTGATACATGCTGCAACAGGCAAGAACCTTGAAGACATTAGACTGAGTGAAATAAGTAGGAGAGACAGAAACGCAGAGTTATTATTTAATGGGGGTAGAGTTTCTGTTTGGGATGGTGAAAAACTTCTGGAAGTGGGTAATGGTAATAATGGTTGTGCAGCATTGTGAATGTACTTAATGCTACTGACTTTTACTTAAGTGTAAAAGGTACATTTAATATATTTTTTACTAAAATTTTTAAAAAGCAAAAACGAAAAAGGAAATGGAACAGGCCAAATAAATGTACTGCTATTTATTAGTATTGTCTTTGTATAAAAGGATGTTACAAGACTGAATGATGACATAAATATCCATTCTAAGTCAAACCAGTCAGTTTGGAAATGGACATTATTGAGACCTTCTCTCAATATGTTTGGTAGGTAGCCTAAAAATTCTTCTTGCCTAAATACATGGAAATTATATTTGTAGTATATTATCTATATAATATTTTATCTAATAATGTATAAATACCCTGTTAAAGAGCATATCTGAAGTCTTAATCAAGTAAGGTCATGTATCAGGAGCTGTTTTTAGGGGGAGTAAAAGCAGTGACAAGTTAGTGAGCAGACTCCTAGGTTGAGTTGGTGCAGGGAGCGGGCAGTCTAGGGAATCTTCATCTACCCTGGGAAGGAAAACCATAGATAAATCCCTGCAAAAGATGAGTAGAAAACTAGACTTTCAAAGCACACGAGGAAGCACCACTGTGAGCAATAGATGGTACGTGCAGCAGACAAAAAAGAAATATGTTTAGCATTATCAGATATAAAAAGGAAGGAATTGTAAACATAAGGAAAAAAATAACCTTGATGAAAGTACAGGCAAATTCATAGGAAACAAATAGAACTCCTGGAAATGTAAAGTGTGGTTATTGGAATAATAACTGGGTTAACAGCTTAGGTCCCTGTGAAAGAGAATCAGTGAACTGGAAGATATATCTGGGAAATTATATGGAATGCAGCACTGAGACAAAGAAGATGGACATGACGAAAGAAGTTACCATTGGTTCATCATTTAGTGTCATGGGTCTTTGGTTAAACTGCACATGGGTCTTTGGTTAAACGGAAGTTAGAGAAATGAAAAAGTTCAAGGGAGTTCTGAGGTAGCACCTCTAGAGCAAGGGAAACAAAAGGAAGAGGTTGGGGTTATCAGAACCTAGAAGTTGAGGTAGTTGAGGTAGTGGTTGCTCTGAGAGGTGGTCCTCAGACATCTGAAGATGGTGCCTCTGAAGGCAGGCAGCAGCCCGGTTCTGGGACTGCCAGAAGAACTGGGTTCTCAGAACCGACTCCGTCTTTGCAGATGGAGGCCCACTGCTGGAGTGGTGTTGAACGCAACAGCAAGCAAACAGGAAGCAAGGAGCCCCTTCTGCCTCACCTTGCCTCACACTCTCCCTGTAGTCCTCCCTTTTGACAGAATGCAAGCCAGCAGAGAGCAGAGAAATGATGGATTTGGACCTGACACAAATAGCTTAATAACTGACTCAGGTGATGTATAGCTTGAAAGATCCAATATGTATCTACTCTGAGTTCTAGAATGAAAGAATCAAGAGAATGGGCCAGAGAAAATATTCAGACATAATGGTTGAGAATTTTTTTCATTTGATGAAAAACATAAATCCTCTGATTTAGAAAGCAAGAAGAGATGTAAGCTAGATATAAATTACATGTGGACAGATGGTGCTGAATTAAAGAACATATGGCCCACAGATATTTAGAATAGCCAGTTTGGAAAAGACAGATTACCTTAAAGGATGTTCTGTAACAGTGAAAGCAGACTTCTCAGGAGCACAGTAGGATTCGGGAGAAAATGAGATTGGATTTTGTATTAGTTTCCTGGGGCTAACGTAACAAATGACCATAGCTAGGTGGTCTAAAACAGCAGAGATTTATTCTCCCACGGTTCTAGAGGCTAGAAATGTTAAATTTAAGTGTTGACAAGGCCACACTCTCCCCGCAGGCTCTAGGAGAGAATCCTTCCTTTCCTCTCTAGCTTCTAGTTGTTCCTGGCAGTCCTTGGGTTGTGGCAATTTCTGAAAAGTTAGGATAGAACTTCTTTAACCAGTATCTATAAAAAAAAATTGAAGAAAACATTCTATTTAATGGGGAAACATAGCGAGTATTCCCTTTTCAAGTCAGGAAGAAAACCAAGATCTCCTCCATCGTTGCTTCTGTTCCTTATTGTATTGTTGTGTAGGGTTTCTTCTCTACAAAGGAAAAAATGTATGTCTGTATACATATGTATATATATATTGTTTAGGTAATGTATGATTTGAAACTCCCAGAAAATATTCAAGAAACCATTGTAACTAATAAGAATTCAGCCAGGGAGCTGGATTCACTATTATACAAATATCAATATGAATAATTTTGTAACATCACCCCATAGCAATGAGAATTCCTAACACTCAGATGGTGGTCTCTAAATATAATTTCCCTCCAGACGGAACCAAGACTCTTTGGAGAAATGCCTGAGTTCAGTACTGGGGCAGTAAAAATATAAGATGAGCCTAGACTTTTTTTTTTTTTTTTTTTTTTCTTCAAAGCCCCAGTAGATAGTTGGACGTCATAGTTACACATCTTTCTAGTTGCTGTATGTGGGACGCGGCCTCAGCATGGCCGGAGAAGCGGTGCGTCGGTGCGCGCCTGGGATCCAAACCCGGGCCACCAGCAGTGGAGCATGCGCACTTAACCGCTAAGCCACGGGCCCGGCCCAGAGCCTAGACTATTTTATAACAGACAGCAAGGAAGCATCAAAGACTCCTCAAAGTTCTGTCAGAAAATACAGGAGCCAGCCTGAAGAGGCTCTCACTGACCAAAATGGGACTTTCTGAGCATTGAAAAAAATAAAACAAATCTTCAATAGATTAAAAAACATCAAGTAAGTTAAAAATTCATGAGTTCATAATGATATTTTTTAAAAATCAGTGATCACCTTAGGAGTTTAATGGGACAACTTTTTATTCTAAAAACTGGTAAAATAGAAGGAAAGAATCAAGCATTTTTTTTTCCTTCTCTTTACAGACTGTATTTCAGAGTACGCAATAACTGATGAGGAAAAGAAGAACTTGGTCAATAAATGTGGCAGGAATAATAGAATTTGAACAAATAATGGAAAACTGGATCTAGGCAAAGCTTTCCCAACCAAGGTTTCAGGAGACTCTACCCTAAAGTAGAGATCTGCCAACTTTCTGAAAAGGGCTGGATAGTAAATATTTGAGGCTTGGAGGCCACACAGGGTTGTGTTCCCGTAAAACCTTCCTTATTTATTTATTATTACAAAAGCAGTCAGCAATTGCCCTACATGCTGTAGTTTGCTGTTTGCAAACCCCTGCCCCAAAGCATCCACTATATGTAATGAGTTCTCTTCTGTGCATCTTTAGAGGTATTAGATATGTACCTTGGAATTATTGAGAAAACAGTCACACAAATAATTTTCTCTGCAGCTTAATTCTGTCTTGGAACTCAGTTAAACTTTAAGTAAAAGACTGATGAGGAACTTTATAATGAAAAGATCAGGTTAACACTGATGAAATTTAACATCATGAAGAAACATAACCAGCTACTATGTCTCCTGATGCGAGGAAAAGTACACAGCATCATTTATGAAGTAATATTGCCCCCAAATCAAACCTGTAGATCTGATCAAAGCCTCCAGATGTAACTGCCAGCTTACAGGAAGTCCACGGGGTTGGGAACACATTAACACCACAGTGAAGATGCCATTAGCCAAATTCAGAATGTGGAAAATTCTACAAACACAAAATGACCACGTTTCTCCAGCAAATAAGTGGGAGAGGATACTGTTAGAAATTCAACTAGATTTAAGAGACATATCAACCAAATGCAGTGTGTGGACTTCTTAAGATTTGATTTGAACAAACCAACTTTAAAAAAATTATTGAACAAGTGGGAAAGTGTGACCCTGACTGGATGTTTGCTGTTAAATAAATCATTTTATGTTCCTAAAATTCATACAAAAGAGCAAAGAGCCAAGGATAGCCAAGATAATTTCCAAAAACAATATGGTAGGGACACTCATTCTATCAGATAACAAAATAAAAGCTACAGTGAATGAGAGAGAATGCTGTTGGCACAAGGATAGGTGATGAGACCATGAAATAGAATACCCAGAAACAGACCTTGGGAGAGCCTGTGGGTTCTTTAGTGAGTGGTGGCAGTACAATTGCCTACTGATAGGGGAAAACAATTACATCTCTGCTTTTCATATAAGAATAAGTTTTGGATAGACCAAAGGCCAAAACCTTTTTGAAGAAAGTATAGGTGAATATCTTAAAGATAATGAGATTAGAAAGAATTTATTAAGTATGAAAAGTTCATACTATAAGGGAAGAGAGATTGACATATTCGACTACATTAATTCTTGAAAACTTGGATATGGCAAAAACACTATGAACAAAGTGAAAAGACAAACCACAGAGTGCAAGATAATTTTAACACATAGTCAACAGAGACTTGTTATCCAGATGATATAAAGCACTTCTTCAAATCAGTAAGAAATCCAGCAACCCAGAGGGGAAAAAAAGCAAAGTATATAAGCAGGAAATTCACAGAAGAGGATGCTAAATGGCCAGTAAATGTAGAAAACATGTTCATTATTACTTCAATCAGAAAAATGAAAATGAAAACACTAAAATTCCATGTCATACTCATCAGTTTGGTAAAATGCTCAAGTTTTATCAAGTGAGTGTGAGGTAACTCAAATCACTATTGAAAGAATAGGTATAACCCTTTGGAAAGCATTGACAGTGCCTGATAAAGTTAAGATACATGTTCCTCTGTCTGGCAGTTCCACTACTGGGTTTGTATCCTAGAGAGCTCTCACACATGCACAAGAAGACAGAGAGCTCTCACACATGCACAAGAAGACATATTAAAGTAATGGTCATCATCATAGTGTTTACAAAATGCAAAAAAATTGTAGTCAACTAGAAAATGGATTATTAAGCTGTGAGATTTAGTGTATTAAAGTTAATAAGGCAAAAATGTTAAGCTTTGACAGTTTGGTAGGTACATGGGTCTTCATTAATTTAGTTACGCTATTCTTTAAGCTTAAAATTGTTCTTTTCAAAAAACCACAATTTTAAACGTTTTTGACAGTGAAGAGTCTTTAATTAAAGCAGATCTAGATTACTCTGAGTTTAAAAGTGAAAATAATGTAGGAACAAAAACACAAATCAAAGGGAAGTTGACAGGGAATACACTATTGCAGGGTCACATCATGCTCACAGCAGTGTACCGATATGGAGCCTATGTACCGATATGGAGCCTATGTTTTGGAGAAGAAATAAGAGGATCTGTCCTGGCTTCTCCTTTCCATTTTTGTGTCTTGCCATCTGACAGTGTTCTTCTTCATGTCTCTGCCTTTTTTCTTTATTCCTGACTTGCCTGTTCCCTGCAGGTAATGAATGCCCCGTCAGGCTAGTAGTGGAATGCTAAGTGTGTTTCTCATGGCCATGGCTTTGACCCAGAAAAAAGTCATCCCTGCCTATCAACTCCTTCCTAAATCCAGCTGGCATCTTACCTTTGTTCCCAGCCAAACTTATTACCACCATTGGCTTGGTAGGAGCCAGCGACGGAGATGGGGCTGGGTTGCAGAGCAAAGACTATTGGTGTATGTGAATGCCTTTGTAAATGCAAAACCTTGAGAGCTTGGATTTGCATATAAAATCCTGTATGTATGTTTGGATTGAGAGTCTGATCCTAAAAAATAGATGTTGCTTTTTTGAGAGAAAGCTAGGAAAGCCTTAGGTAGTCAAAGGATAATCCTCATTCAATCTTCTATTTTTCCTTTTTCTTCTAATTCCGTCTTTCTTCTGCCTTTCTCTTTCCCCTCTCCCCGTCCCAGTGCCCGCCATACCTCCCTCATCCCACAACTGAAACTCAGTATGATGACTAAGAGGAAATGGGTTCTACTCGTTTATATTTTTCTTAGAGTGTTCCATCTATAGAATCCTAATTACCAAAAAGAGGATGGAAAAGGAAGCAAAAATAATTTCATGATACCACTTTGGAGATCTTTGTTTTTTCCTTCTCTCAAGATGATTGATGAACATCTAATCATCTAGAGAGTACTTAACTCATAGTGCCATAATGCTTTGTGTTCCTTGTAGATCGAGCTAAGAGGAGAAAGCTCAGGGAAGAAAGGGCATGGCTGCTGGCCCAAGGGAAGGAGCTCCCCCCAGAACTTTCCCATCTGGACCCTAATTCCCCCATGAGGGAAGAAAAAAGGACTAAAGACCTGTGAGTATTTAATGATACTAACAATGGCAACCGGTCACATTTGCTAGGCATTTTTCTCATTTAACCCTCAAAACAACCCTGTGTGATAGGTAGTATTCAGTGTTCGTGAGCTCCTCAATCTACTGTATACTTTTTTGGATTATTATTCTTTACATTAAAAAAACTCATTAGAGTAAAATAAACCTGGAAAAGAATTGTGTTATTAAATAACTAATATTATAGAATCATAAATTAAGTTCCAGATCACCTAGGCCAGCCCCATCACTTTATAGATGAGGAAAATGATATTCCCTTTTTTACTAAGGTTTGCTGTCCCTTATCTTTATAACTATTTTCTGGAGTGTTATCAGTGTTACAGACTTATCTTTAAAAACATTTTATTGAGACTATTCCAAATCTTGGTGTAATCAGCATGTGTCTGTGATTGAATTAAGACTGCTAAGTAGAGAAGGTGGTCAAAGTTACTATTAATTTCTTATTTTATGATTTACAGCTTTGAGTTGGACGATGATTTCACTGCCATGTATAAAGGTTAGTCCCATTCTCAACTATTGTGTTTCTCATAGAAGTGTTCCCATGTGAGTGTGTTAATTAAGCTCTCTTTTTTATTTCTCAGTTCTAGATGTGGTAAAGGCTCACAAGGATTCCTGGCCCTTTTTGGAACCTGTGGATGAATCATATGCCCCAAACTACTACCAGATTATTAAGGTAGAGGCTGGCTTTGAAGTTATCCTACTATGGTGTATGTGTCTTGATTTTTTGTTGTTGTTGTTTTTTGTTTTGTTTCGTTTAAGTTCATCTATTATTCCTTGAAAATCAGAGTTGCTGGATGTGTACCAGGCTTTTGAGTGTCTCATAACAGTATGATTCTTTTGCCTCATGGGGACTGTGAGATGTGATTTTCTCTAGCATATTGTAACTTAATGTGTCCTATTTTAGGTCCCCATGGATATCTCAAGCATGGAGAAGAAACTGAATGGAGGTGTATACTGTACCAAGGAGGAATTTATAAATGACATGAAGACTATGTTCAGGAACTGTCGAAAATATAATGGAGAAAGTAGTGGTAAGTGGGGAAGGAGTTTGCTCTGGATACACGTTTGCTGTACCATTATAACCAAGAGTACAATGCCTTCTCTTTTAGAAATACATATTCTAGTAACTCAGACCTTTCTTTGCAACTATAAAGAGAATGTGTATTAAAAGCCATGGGATTGGCCATTCCAGCCACTTACACAGTGTTCCAGGACTGCTCTCCTGTGCCTCATGACAAGAGAGTGCATTTGGCAGCTAACGGGGCTCAGATTATTTCTCATTATCTTAGAGACTAGTCTGGGTCTACTTGGTACTGTGCCTCCTTAATACAGACAGTTGAGCACTGACAAGACTGAACCTAGGTGGAGCTGAGTCTAAATCTTGAGAAGTCCACAGAGTAGATCTAATAACAAGTGTATATGGCTTCAAGTATAGAAACGTGGGGTCATTTGTGCATTAGCTCAAAATACCTTCGTTTAAACACTAAGCAGACTCAGTGATCGTATTTAATATTTCTGCAGTTTAGCCTTAAAGAATTAAATGTTTACAGGTTTGAGGTAACAGTCCTAGAGTCCCAGGCACACAACCTGGAGCCTCTTAGGACAGAAACCATGTCTTCATCTTGTATCCTTAGCTCTACAACATAATATGCGCTCAGGTCAGATTAAACTCAGCATTTAATACAATGCTGAGTTTAACAGCATTAAACAGCAATAAACAATAACAGATTGTTTATTAGGAAGAGAATAGTCTTTGTGGCCTGAAAAAGCTCTACCTGGAGGTCAATCCTTGTTATCTTCCTATAGAGTATACCAAGATGTCTGATAATTTAGAGAGGTGTTTCCATCGGGCAATGATGAAGCATTTTCCGGGCGAAGATGGAGACACAGATGAAGAATTTTGGATCAGAGAGGATGAAAGGCGGGAGAAGAGACGGAATCGGGCTGGGCGAAGTGGCGGAAGCCATGTTTGGACCCGCTCCAGGGACTCGGAAGGGCCCAGCCGGAAACAGCAGCCTGTGGAAAACGGAGGAAAGTCATTGCCACCCGCACGCCGAGCTTCCTCTTCTGGGGATGATCAGAGCAGCAGTTCCTCACAGTTCCCCCAGGATGTGGGCACCTCCAATGGCCGAGGCTTTTCTCGTCCCCTCTATTACGGTGGGATGCCCAACCAGACACCCCTTTTAAACCAGATGGTAAGGAACAGCTTAATCTGTGTGGTTTCTCCTAGTTGGTGAATTCAAAGGGAAGTAAAGCCTTTCCACTTGGCTCCTCTTCCAAAATAATTTTTCTGTATATGGATGATTTCTTCTCTCTTCATCTGTCCTTCCTTCGTTCTTCCTTTATTTTAAGTCTCCCTTTCTCTTGATCATTTGAACCACACAGTCTCAATGTGGGCAAAAATTAGGATTTAAAAAACCTTAGTTTTTTCATGTGTAAAGTACAGAGTATGTATAGTACATAAAATATACAGTATATCTGTGGTATTAAAATTTCATGGTGGGGAGCTGTTGGGGGAAAAGTTGGCTAAAAAGGCTCCTGTGGGGAGGAGGCAATAATGAAAGAGGTTAAGAAAGACCAGTTTGTCTCTCCTGGAAAGAGAAGTTGCTTTGGGCTCAGGAACTGGTCCTGAGCTGGGGAAGCCCATGTGCTGGCTGTCTTCCCATCCTGGCCCTCTCTGCTGCGTTGTTAATGGTCTGTGTTAGCATAGCAGGACGTTCATCTTCAGGAATGTCCTTACTTTCTACCTAATGTCTGTGCTTTCTCTTTTTTTTTTTTTCGCTCCTCATGCCTTTCCTCACTGCCCTCCAGAGGCCAGCAGTACCAGGAGCATTTGGCCCTCTTCGAGGATCAGACCCTGCCACCTTCTATGTGTCCTCAAGAGTCCCAGAGCCACACCCTGGAGAGCCGGGACAGCAGCAGCAACCTTTTGCCCTGCGGGTAAGCAACCTACTCAGACTGTGCAGGTGCAAAGGTCTCAAGGTAAATATTAGAAATACAGTCTCTTCCCAGGTTAAATTTAATTTATTATCTCTTATTCTGTAGAGTCTGTTTCTCTAGATTAAGCACATTACAAGGTATGCCTTATTTTGTGGGTCTGGTGAACTCTGCTGTCTTCTCTTTCTTGTTGCCAGCCTCCAGTTGGAATTAACAACCACCGAGGACCCAGGCTAGGCACACCCGAAGAGAAGCGAGTGTGTGGGGGGCTGGTGCAGCTTGCTAACATGGGATCACACCCTGGATCCTTGCAGCTTGGGCACATGAGTGGCCCCAGTCAGGATGGAAACATGTATCCCCCAACTCAGTTCCAGCCAGGATTTATCCCTCCCAGGCATGATGGGGCTCCAGCCCGACCCCCAGACTTTCCTGAAAGCTCAGAAATTCCTCCTAGCCACATGTACCGATCATACAAATACCTGAATCGAGTACACCCTGCTGTCTGGAATGGGAACCATGGTGCTACAAACCCAGGACCCTTGGGGCCAGATGAGAAGCCCCCCATGGGGCCAGGACCCTCTCGCCAGCCTCATACTCTTGGTCACATGATGGATTCCCGAGTGATGAGACCACCTCTTCCCCCAAACCAGTGGACTGAACAGCCAAGCTTTCTACCTCATGAAATTCCTTCTTCAGGGTATATGCGACCACCCTGTAAATCTGGTGGACATCGGTTACAGCCACCTCCAGCCCCAGCACCCAGTTCTCTTTTTGGAGCTCCCTCCCAGGCCCTGCGGGGGGTGCAGGGAGGGGCCTCCATGATGGACAGCCCAGAGATGATCGCCATGCAGCAGCTGTCCTCCCGTGTTTGCCCACCAGGTGTGCCTTACCACCCCCAACAGCCTGCTCCCCCGCACGTACCTGGCCCTTTCCCACCAGCTGCTCACTCAGCATCAGTAAGTGTGTCTGCCCCCAAGCCTGCCTTGGGGAACCCTGGGAGGACGCAGGATGACAGTGAGACACAAGAACCTGAGAATGACCAAGGTAATTTATACTGTCACTTTTATCTGACTTCTAGTTCTGTAAGCTGTTAAACTCATGAGTAATCTCTTTTTTTGTTTGTTTGTTTGTTTGTTTGTTATGTTTTTTTGTGAGGAAGATCAGCCCTGAGCTAACATCGATGCCAGTCCCAACCCTGAGCTACTATTGCCAATCCTCCTCTTTTTTTTCCCCTTTTTCCCCCCAAAGCCCCAGTAGATAGTTGTATGCCATAGTTGCACATCCTTCTAGTTGCTGTATGTGGGATGCTGCCTCAGCATGGCTGGACAAGAGGTGCGTCAGTGTGCGCCCGGATCTGAACCTGGGCCGCCAGTAGCGGAGCACGCGCACTTAACCGCTAAGCCACGGGGCCGGCCCCATGAGTAATCTCTTTACACAGAAAATCAAACGAAATGTAAACTAGTTTCCAGCCTCTCTTTCTTGAACCACTGAGGGTTGGGCCAGTCATAGTATTGTTTTTGGTCCAAAGATCCAAAAGGATTTTTGGTGATGGTGATAGCTGTACAGATGTGGTACTCACTGTGTCGGGCACTCTTTTTGAGACTCATACGTGTAACTCATTTAATTCTCAGAACAAACCTTTGAGATAGCTACTGTTATTATCCTTGTTTTTACATGGAAAATCCGAGGCACAAGGACACTATATTATCTGCCCTTAACTAGCTGGTGAGTGGTGGACCTGAGATTTGAACCCACAGACTCGATCAGCATCCATGCTCTCAACCCGTGCATCATTGAACTGCCTTTCAGAATCCCTGTCTTGAAAGTTACTATTATGAAATAAGTTTTCAGTATTTTAAAGTCTAAGTATTCTCATCCTTCTATTCCTTTTGAGTACATATCTGAATCTACTGAGAATGAAGAATAGTGAGATCTAGCAAATCTTGAAGAAATTTCTTAGAAATGCTGTTTAAGAGAGTAAACCTGAAACTGGAGGAGAAAGATGAAAAGACTGCTTTGTGTAATTAATGCTTATTTCTAGGATAGATGTCTAGTATATATTGCATGTAATTTTCTTCAGTTCATGACTGGGAATGGAGACGCCTAGACTTTTATAAAATATGAAGATTCCACATAAAATTGATGATATGCCTAAACTCAAACTTACTTCTTAGTGTTCCTTTTGAGGAAAGGCCTACTTTGTGAACACCAGCTCTAGCAGAATTTTTTAATACTGATTTCAGATGATGTCTGGAATTCAGAGCTTTTGAAGAAGAGTCCCTGTGGTGAAACCTTGGAGAAGTCTATTTGTTAGCTGCCCTGTTGTATGTTGACTGAATAATGAAAAGTGCAGATTTTAATTTTCGTTGTATAGCTGGTACCGTTGATCTTTAAAGCAGCTTTAGTTCATCAGTAGCCTGAGATCCTAGTAGATCTTTAAAAGTTGCTATGAATCCTTAATCTTATCCTTAAGATCTGTTTCCAGAATCGTATTTGGACCACACCTGGGCAACTATTCTGTCCTACTTGAAAGATTATAATAATAAGACCATATTTATGGGTGATACAATAGCAAAATAAAGAATTCTGAGTTTGTAATGAAGCATTTGAGGCTAGTAAGTTAATTTGTTTGGGTTTCTTAAATTTCTGTAATATGTTAAAGATGGCTTTTGAGTTTTATGCTGTAGACATTTTGTTTTCAAAACATGCTGACAAGGTGAACATTTTCATTCCTTCAGTAAATACCGATTGAGCCCTGTTTTGGGCAAGTGCTGGGAATATGGTGAGGAACAAGTAAGAATCCCTGCTCCTGTGGAGCTTCTGTTCTGGTGGGGCAGAAGTCGGGGGTCCAGGCTTCCTGAAACCATCACGTCCTGGTCCTTCTCATTGTGTAGTTTTAGAGCTTCCTGGCCTGGCCTGCGGTTCTAGTGATAGCTATACCCTCCTGCCACAGTTTACTTGCATCTGCTTGGATGGAGTCCATGGATCCTCTCACACCCTCTTACAATCTGACTCTGACAGCACAGGAAGAGGGAGGCCAGGACAGCGCCATTCTTTGGCAGACGCTATGAGTAGCTGTAGAGCTGCTAGATCTTACCTCCTGGTCTGTGAAAGGGAGTGTGCAAGGCCTAAACTCAGCATCGTGACACCTTTCAGGGCCTCTCAAGATTTCTAGCTGAGGCTGGAATGGCCACACATCTGCCTCCACCCTGGGTCCCCTTATCTGACTGCTTATCATGTTCTTTTCATTACCACCTCTATGAGTATTGTCATTCCAGCTACTGAGTTATTATTTTGTTCTCCGTTTTTCTTGCAGCAGATCCCTTGCCTGGGCTTGAGGAGAAATCACCAAGTGTTGGTGCTTCAGAGGGGCTGTACCTCAAACAACTACCTCACCTCACGCCTCCCCTGCAGACCGACTGTACTGGGCAGAGCTCTCCACAAGAAAGGGAAACAGAGGGCCCAGAGCTCAAAAGCGACTCCTCAGAATCTGGAGACAACTGTAAAGCAACAAAAAGCAAGAGTCCCTGGCCCTCAGAGAGCAGCTATGCCAGTACAGCAGCCCAAGGGTGTATGAGAGACCTCTCCGCTCTGGCAGAGAGAGGGGCTCTACCCGAAAACGGAGTGATTGTTGAAGCATCCCCTTGTGCGTCAGAGGGGAAAGGCCTCAGTGGTAGTGGTTCAGAAAAGCCACTCTGCCCCAGAGGCAGAACACTGCAGGAAACCATGCCGTGTCCAGGACAGACCCCAGCTGCGCCTCCCAGCACAGACCCCAATTTGCTGGGAAGCACTGTAAGCCAGTTTTCTCCCTTGTACGTGCCTGGCCTGGAATACCCAGGTTCAGCTGCACATTACCACGTCACTCCAGGCCTGCAGGGCTTGGGCCATGTGATGGGAGCTAAACCCTCAGTCTCACATCCTCAGCATTTCCCCCCCAGGGGTTTTCAGTCTAACAACCCGCATTCTGGGGTCTTTCCTCGGTATCGCCCCCACCAAGGAATGAGGTATTCCTACCAGCCACCGCCTCAGCCTTCCTATCATCACTATCAGCGAACTCCTTATTATACTTGTCCACAGGGTTTTTCCGACTGGCAGAGACATATCCATCCCCCGGGAAGCCCAAGTGGGCCCCCACGTAGTCAGCCTTCCCTGCCAAGACCCCTCTTCTCAGATAAGAGCGCCATGGCTAATCTCCAAGGCTGTGAGACACTGACTGCTGCCTTAACTTCCCAGACCCGAATGGAGGCGGTGGCTGCCAAGGTGGTCACAGCTGATGGGCAGAATCCTGCTGCAGAGGAAGAGAAGCTGGATGAGTCTGTGGAGAGGCCAGAGAGTCCCAAAGAATTTTTAGACCTGGACAACCATAATGCAGCTACCAAGCGACAGAGTTCACTGTCAGCCAGTGAATATCTCTACGGAACTCCTCCTCCACCTCTGAGTTCAGGGATGGGGTTTGGTTCATCTGCTTTCCCACCCCATGGAGTGATGCTACAAACGGGACCTCCTTATACCCCTCAGCGGCCAGCCAGTCATTTCCAGCCCAGGGCTTACTCTTCCCCTGTGGCTGCTCCTCCCGCTCACCACCCAGTGGCAGCCCAGCTCAACGGCCTCTCTCAGGAGGGCCCCATCTATCACTGCCAAGAAGAGGGCCTGGGTCACTTTCAAGCAGTAATGATGGAACACATTGGCACTGGAAGTGGAATAAGGGGACATTTCCAGGAAATGTACAGACCGTCAGGGTAAGATTGTATTAGGTTGGTTTTTTTTTTTTGAAAGAAGAATTGGTGGTAGTATTAAGAAAAATGACCTTGGGAATGAAGATAAACTTTAGTGGTCTAGGACCAAGAAAAGCATGTGAATCATTGATGACTTACTGGAAATGTATTAGCCTTCAAGTCAGATTTTATCTTTGGCATTTTTTTTCCTTCTTCAAAGTGAATTGACTTTTAAATGACTAGTTAGTTAGATTTTGATATTAGAAACTGGATAGCCAGTTTGAGAGCTGTAGGCAGAGGGTTTCACACTGCTGCTGAGTCTCTCTCAAACTCTGGCATGTGGGAGGTCGTATATAAGGTTCAGGGTTTATTCCTTGCCCTCATTTCTTCCCCTAACGTTGAATGAAAGAACTAGGTTTATCTAGACTTGGAACAAGTCAAATATTATCCCCATAAGAATTCTCATCAATAGTGGTATTTTTTAAGACCCACTGAGGTGATCCAGGAAGTTTTCAAATTACTAATATATAAAAGATGGTTAGATGAGATTGTTCATATTAAAGTTATGAAGCCCAATCATAAAACCAGTACCATCCAACTTAAAAACCAGTGTGCCGACCTAAGAAGCCCTTACTTCCTGACCCTTCCCCCCACTTAACATTTTGCCATATTTGTTTATAGCTCTATAAAATCTGTTCACATTTTATTTCTTTTCTTGGCCTTTTTTCTAAACCATTAGAAAGTAAGTTGCAGACACCATGACCCTTGATCCCTAAATACTTCAGCATGCGTCTCCTAAGAGTAGGGACATTCTCCTGGAGCACAGTCTCAAACTATTCTCACACCCAAGGAAAATAACATTTTCTAATATAGAGTTCTTATTTAATTTCTTCACTTGTCCCCAAAATGTCTTTTATAGCTGTGTTTCTTTATTTTGTTTTATTTTGATTTTTTTACCATCCAGGATCCATTCAGGGTTCATGTATTTACTTTTGGCTTCTACGTCTGTTTAGTCTCTTAATTTACAACATTCATTCTATTGTTGTTTTTGTTTTTCAAAGACTCCAGGCCATTTCTTATGTAGAATGTCCCAGATTCTAGATTCTTCTCATTGTTCCTCATGTCAGATTAAACACTGTGCCCAGAACACTACATAGGTGGCGTCCTGACTTCTTGCATCACCTCTGGGGGCATATGATGTCAGTTTGTCCAGTATTGGTGATTCCAAGTTGGATCACTTGGATAATTAAGGCAGTATCTGCCTGAGATATGATTAAAGTATCTTTTTTTCTTTTCTAATTAATGTGTCTTCATTCATTCTCACTGTTGCTTTCTTACGGCTATAGAATGCAAATGCTTCCGGTCCAGGCGCATGCCTCGTTCCCAAAGACCCCAGCACCAGCAACATCGCAGGAAGAGCTGCCGCCACATAAGCCCCCAACACTGCCCCTTGATCAGGTAAGAATCACCAAAAATTAGAACTTTTCTTATTCTTCCAAGTACATGAGTTCATTGCTGTTCTGAAAAAACTCTTTTAAGGTGTCCTATTGATCCAGAAACTTTTCCTGGAAAGTGCTTCATATCCTGCAGACAACCAGGTAGAAAGGGCCACTCAGGCCCTGTGCTCCCCGTTGAGTCAGCTGTGGGAAAGGGCAAAAGAGGAAAGCCTGAGAAGGAGCTGCTTTACTGCTCCCTCATGGTCCTTTTTCCTCTTCTTACGGGAATCAGCTGTTGGGGGATGATTTAAACCTTATTTTTCCAAACTGGCTACCAGCATTCCTTTTGATATGATACCTTGTGTCTTTCCTTCCCACCTATTTCATGTGAGAGAGACTAGTCAGTCAGGTTTTAAAATGATAGTAGCTCCCTTCAAGGCTGCTTCTGTGCAGGGCGCTGGGCTGAGAGGTTCCACAGGCAGTGTCTCATTCAGTGTCTTTGTCAATCCCCAAGAGGTCGTCATCATCCACTGCAGCGCCATTATCGTTCCTTGTTGTTCAGGAAGTCCCACAGCCTCTGCGCCAGGTGGCTGGGGTTTGAGGCGGGAGGGCCAGAACTTAGAGCCCACCCTCCGGAAGTAAACTGTGGCTGGTGAAACAAAATCAAGCCATTTTCCCAGATGTAGAGGAATGTGTACAGCTCTTTGGCCTACTTAATTTTTTTTTTAACAACGCAAATGTTACTTTTGTTTAAATTGTTTTTATTTTGCTTCTCTCAGAGCTAGTCCAAGGAGGAAATAACCCCCAAGGAAACGGAAAGCTGCACATGAAGACTGGAACAAGGAGAGTTTGGGAGAACGACCTCCCCCGTCACTGTTCCTGACACCCTGCTGCACCCTTCACCGTGCATAACTTCATGCTGTCCCATTGCTGGAGCAGTTCCTGAGCCCTGGAAGCACACTCCTTTGATAACGAACACACCGCTGCCGAGGTCCTGGGTCAGGGATCTCTTGCATGGCTGATAGTAGAGAACAAATGAACTGGAACTAGTGATGGCTTTTCCGAGTCCCGAGACTCTTGTTCAGGGAAAATCATCTTAAACGTGGTGGGGGGGCATACTTAAGAATGGAGTGGTGCTTGTAAACCTTCATGAGCAGCTAAACTCAGGTATATATTTGGGGAAGGGACTACTTGTAGTATTAATAATGTGTTTGGAGCTGGGTCCAGTTTACAGAATTTTCATGTTGCCTTTTAAAATAATTTTTGTTGTTGGTGGTGAATGTATTGTATGTCAAGTGGGAACGGTGGGTGGGGATGTGGAAGAAATGGAAGTCCTAAATGGTGGGCACACAGCACTGGAGTGATCCTTATCTGTTTACAATCATGTCACACTGAATACTTTGGGGAGCTGGAGAAGTGGGTAGGAAAAGTTTGCTCCTGTAACAGGTCACTGTGTTTCCTCAATGGCCAGCCAACCTTTAAGATCTAAAGGCCTTCTTTCCAATCAGCCCAAGGAAGTCCCGTTACACCGCCCCCCAACCATTCAGCTTCTCCATTCGGAGGCAGAGAGCTCTCACACGGCCTTCCAGAAGCTTCAGCCCAGAAGACAGGCTGCCCTCTCTCCTCTGGTGGCCCAAATCCTGGATAAGAGAGCAGTGCCCTTCCTGAATGCTACCAGCCCTACCAGATAGTAAACCAATATCAGGAATTGGGATCACTAGAGTGTTTTGCTTATTGGAAGATAAAACGAATCATCCTCTTCACAGACTTGCCAGGACTGTGATCTGGAAGGCGTCACATAAAGCTTTCTGGCACAAATCACATTTTGTGGAAGTGACTACTCAGGTTTGTATATGTTAGTATCAATAAAGAAATTGCACAGTTTTGAATAGGGAAAATGTATTCTATAGATTTACAATTTGAATTTAGGAATATTTCAATATATATAGTTTTTATTCAATTTAAGTGAATCATAGTAAAATAAGTCATGGTGATTTAAAATAGCTATCAAGAACAAGTTCTTGGAAATCATTTGTTGTATCTGATAGGAACGAATTTTACAGTATTAAATTACTTTATTACAGTTTTAGAAGTGAATTACACTGGATTCTCCCTGTTTAGCATTCTGTATTTGGTTTTAGCTGAGATGCTACCAAAGTTAGGACTCATGTTTTAATCTTTTGAATATCCCACATATACCACAAAGAAGAAAAAAAACTAAGGAAAATGCCCTGAAATTACAAGTTTTTGTAAAGAGTAGCATATTTTGAAGCATGCCTTTGGGATAGTAAAAAAGCTTCCATATGATATCAATCTGCCCTAGTTTCTTATCAATTCAACTGTGTGGGGGCCAGTAGAACCTTTCCCTCCAATTCCAGCATCCTTGATAAAACATGGAACTGTCATGTTTAAAGAGTGCTAAAGATATGTAGGAAAGGAAACAAATTGGAAACATCCATGTTATACAAATGGAACCCAAGACACCAGTGCCAGTGTAATGGAAATTCAGCGAGTGCTTCCTGACCTGGCTGATGGCTGAGGCAGGATGGGGAGTTGGATCGGGAACACAGATGCCTTTGAGATAACGATGCACGAAAATACGAATGTTTCTGTGATAGATTTTAATTTTAAATTTGGTGTGCTTTTTCAAGTGGAATGAGTTGTGAGGCTGTGTTCTCATTTGATCCTGATTCCTGTTAAAAATCTGGTTTGCTGGAAAAACAGAGGTGGAGGTTTGTGGATGGGCTCAGTCAGCCCCTGAGCTAGTGGAAGGTAGCATGGTTGAAGCATTCTTACTTCTGTGTCTGTGCAAAAGCAGGGAGGAGGAAAGACCAGTCTCTACAGCTAGTTTGGGCCTGGTTAGACCTCGTTTGGGCCCAGAGCATTCTGCCACTGACAGCCTTTCTTTTCTCAGGTTAAAGCTGGTTTGAGAGGCCTCTGGCTCTTCCCTCACTGGGAGCGCAGTAAGCGTGGAGCCTTTTCCCCTGGTGCTGGAGCTCAGGGGTTGCTTTGTGCCGAATAACCCTGGGGCTCGGGTCAGAGCGGGCCATAAGCAATAGTCGGGCTGATTTGTACCTTTCCTTCCACCCTGGTGGTATTTGAGCAGCTGTGTCCACACTGCTCTAGGTAACCCTTTCTCCTCTCTCCCAGCCCCTTAGCCCCAATTACCTGTTGCTAGAGAGGAGCTGTGAACAATATAGGACGAAATCGGTCAATTCTTTTCTCCTTAATCTCCCTTCTTGGTATGTAGAGAAAAATACTAAGGAAGAACGATAGGAGATTGGACTGTGAACAAGGGCGACAGCAAGATGGCAGCCTTGTTGATCCCGTGTGGGGTTGGGTCGCGCGTTGCGGGTGCCAGTGCCTTGTGCCTTGTCTGCTATGTCGGGAGCTTTGAGTGGTCTTGAAGTGCCATCTGCTGAAAGCAGGCAGGAGCCGCAGGGCTCCAGGGGCTCCGGATGCAGAGCTGCCTGAACCCCTGCTCTACTCTCCCCCCAGCGGGGTCTGTCTCCTCACCTCCTTTTTCTCCTCTAGCACTTCTTCCCACGTGTCTTAAGCAGATGCAAACGCCTCTGCCACCTTCTCAACTCGGGGTGATGGTCATGTGATGTGCTGTAACTAGACAGAAGTGTGTAAAGGGTCCTGAAGAAGCTCTGCTCTCAGGCTAGAAGGCCTCTGACACTGTGGCTCCCTGCCACCTTGTCGGTGTGCCAGCTCTCGATGGGGCCCAGGAAGGACAGCTGAGATGCCTGGGTAACGAGGAATACTCTCACCCCTATTTGATTGAACATTCCTGGCTAACCTTAATTAGAGTTGTTAATAAGTTAGAAACTGTTGCCCCAAGACCCAAGAGAAAAGATCCAAAAAGAAAAGTAGAGCCTTTTGGAAGGTTTCCAGTTTGGGGTTTTTTTCCCCCCTCAGAGTCTGTTCATTTAGCTTTTGGCTAAAATTTATTATGGTAAATGTATATGGAGAATAAATAAGGACAAAATATGCAGATTCTTACTCTCATAACTTTTTCCATCCCGCTCCATCTCGCCCTAGTCAGGTTGGTTTAGTTCTTCTGGTGGTGCACATGAGCATATTAGTAACAGTTCTTTGTTATTTTATTATTGAGTGAGCCCAAGTGGGGCTGCTCTCAAAAGGCAAACTTTTTTAATGCTCATCTTCGTTTTTATGTTTATTGAAAACCTTAAGACCTGTAGTTTGTGCCCCTTAAGGTTTAGTCAAAGCTCAGCGTTAAGTGTCAGTTCCCCCAGCCTCGCCCCCAGACCCTGAAAGTGCTTCTCGTGACGAGCCATTCGGGGTCCTTATCACAGGGCATTTATCTGCTGTTTTATTATTATTTATGTTAATTCCTGCTGGAGTGAAAGAGTGCACTAAATGCTGTCCAGAACACACAAAATCCCGGGGTGGCACTCATCACAGGTGTCGGAAAAAACTTCCAATCCATACCACTTGGTTAACTTTTCTCTTCTTTTTTTTTTTAATGGAAGTTCAAATCTAAAGACCTAATTTGAAATTTACAGGAAGTCTTAACCCAGCAGTCTCAAGACAAGGACAATTAACCTAGTGTCTGGATCCTGCCCTGCTTTCAGAGAAGCTGTCTTCTTCAAGGAAATGAAAGGCTTAGAGTTTTCTAGCATCGTTACCCTCTTTGTGCCTGTCAGTTCACCCCCTGCCAGAGTCTGCATGGCCTCATCGTGGACACTGGCTGTGTGCGTGTGTGTGCGTGTCTTGAGGACTGGTCAGCCCTGGGGGTC